TTCGAACTGGAAGTCTTTTCACTTGATTTCGACTATGGGGCTAATCAAAACTGTAGTGAGTAAGCGAAGGATGGGAAACACGAGAGAGAAAATAGAGAAGGTAAAATTGTCGGTCGAAAACTGTCGTGGAAGCAGGTTTTGCAGCTAAAATTATAATATGCAACTCCAGCACCTCAACTATTTATTTAAGAAACCTAGGATTTGATCTTTACTATTTATAATGAGCTTTTTGCTGATTTAGTCACACGTTAATCGGGAATTTATTTATTGATTATTTACTCATCGTTTGTTTTTATTGATATATATGAATGTTTCTCATTTTTTCATATTAGTATTTCTGTAACATTGTGATAGCAAAATTTAGAACAACTCTACCACCTACTAAAATTTTTTACTCCACAAGAGAAACGATAAAAACACACGCAAACATCATTCTTTTACATGATATTGTCTATCAGGTTTTTTGGAATATTGAATAAGAAAAATAAATTATTAATTGTATTAAATCTACTTTAATACTGTAATTTCAGTATAATAATCCTTTCTTTCTACTTTAATATAATAATATATGGATATTTATATAATAATCATATAATTAGAAGTATAATTTTATTGAAATGTTTACAAATTTAATATAGATAGAAAATTATTATAAAACTAAAAAAAAATAATTGAAATGTACATGTAAATAAATTTCCACTGTAAAACTTCAAAACTAAATAAAATTGTAGACTTAATAAAGTTATTGATTTGCAAGGTAGTATAACTTTCCTTATAAAAATTCTTTAAGTACAAAAATAATTTATTTTTCGTCATTTGTTATAGTTAAAGCAACAAAAAATATACCTAAATTTGCGTTTAATATAATAATAAATTATAATTTTAATGTAACAATTAGTTACAACATACTATCTCTAAAGAAATTATGTTCGACGTAAAAAAAAATTCGATTATGAAAATGTAAGCACACACAATATTGAACAATTGATTTATATGACATAATAGCATTAGCATATTATATAATTTATCTTACAATAATATTATTACTTTAATTCAAATTTTAAATACTTATCTTTAAAGTAACTTTTACTGAATTTTAAATACAAATATTTGTTTTTCACTTTTCATATATTTGTTTCAATATATAAATTTAGTTACACTATCAAAATGTATGTTCATCATCTTCGATTTAATAAATGTTTGGTATATATTGTACACTTTAATTAACATGTATGAACTCATATTTTCTGTAAGCGGACTTTGAAGTGAACCAATAAGTGATTCCAAATTTAAAACAGATCAGCAGAATACAAAATTTCATCCACAAGTTTAATTTATATTGTGTATAGATAACGATCATACTTAAGTTTAGTGTATACCTAAATATTTTTTTATTAAATATTTTGCGTATTTATGTTTGTGCATATACGTAAGAGAATTTTTAAGTTATACTTTTGTATATAAAATATTATTTTTTAAATCGATAAATTTGTGATATATTTTAAATAAGAAGGTTTAATATAAATTTTTGTCTTTTGAATTTAAAATTAATATTCATTTATATAATAAACTTTAATATAAAAATTCAATTGATGTATCAATTCCAATTTTCGATTGAAATTTTAATAATTTTGTTTTAACAAATAAAATACATTAAAATCTAAATAATTAATAAACTTGTTACTTTGTAGTACAGTCTACTATTAAATAATATATTAAAATGTAAAATAATTTGATTTTTTATGCAGTCTGTTGATTATTTAGATAATACAATAATATATATCCTCTATACATTGAATTATTTGTTATATTATAATATAGTAGTTATATATATTATATTATATTATATAATATATTATATTATAATATAGTATATTATATAAAGAATTATATTATAATATAATTTAGCTAAAATCTTTATAGACTCTAGACAAACTATGTTTCTTATATATAAAAACATCCTTTGTAAATTAAAACAAATTAATATAAATATAGAGAAATTATTTTTCTTAATATATTCACTTAATTGAGTAGTGTGATTATCTTTTGATTATAAATTTAAAAATGTGGATATATTTAGTTTAGTATTTTATAAAAGAAATAATGATAATAGTATGATTGAAAATGTTTCTGAAAATACAAACGAGTTCAATTATTTGAATTATTTAAAAATACTATACTAAATAAAAACAAAGTCAAAATTGTATATGGATGATATAGAAAGTTTTTACGAGTTTAAAAAATTGTGAATAAATGCAATTCAACGATTCATTACTTTAATTATGCACAAATTTATCAGAGTAATTTTTTTCCTTTCGATCAATTTTTAACGGGTGAAGAAAATTAATAATTTAAGGTAAGATAAATTTGACGTATTAATTTGAACAATCAAAAATTCGCTACGTATATATAAACAAATTTAATTGAAAAAAATAAGATCTTGCTGATGTGTTGATATGGTAATCAAAGCATCTGCAGTATTTCGCATCTAAAGCGAAGCAAACGCCATTCTTACTTTAAATATGCTAAATATTAAATAAATTAACTTTCATGTAAGATATGAATAATAAAAAAGGATACATCTAATTTTTGCAGAAACAACGTTGACTAATGCTTTTAAATTCGAGCTTTAACCCCTTTCGGTTACAAACTAAAAAATTCAGAATTTTTCAATCGTTATTTGACCAGTATATACTTACATATAAGAAATGCAAACAAATGGGATCTGCCGGATAATCCTCGAAGCCCTGTAAAGCTATTAACATTCCGTGCCAAATACCACGTTCGAATCACAGAAGCTATAGCAACAACAATAAAATTTTTTCGAGCAGACGTCTTGACTTACCCCCTCTCTTTTTCACTCTGTCGTCAAAATCAGTATGTTCATGGGCTCTGTTTTTTTCTAGCTTTCATTGGTCTTTCGATACTACTTTTTCTAAATAACAGTTTCATTATTCCCTCCTCTGCTTTCAAAAAAACGATATTCATAAACAAGAAAATCTTGCAGTAAATAAGAGATTCTCAGATCTTTGATTTTTTTCAAAATCTATGAACTTTGCAAATTAAATATTCTCTGATTGTATTAAAAACAAACGAACTTCTTATAATTCGTGTAATCGCTATAGTACAATTGGTTGAAAATCTTACTTGATTAATAAAAAATTATTTTTTAAAATAAATTATAAAACTTTACTATTAAATTAAAGATTTGTTTAATCTATTAAAAATAATAACATTAAGAATATATTAAAATAATTTATAGATATTTATGTTTTAAAATAGTTGAAATATATTAACTTAAGAATAATAAGAACATGTTTAATTTCAAACAGAATTTTATGAAGCTAACAAAATATGATTTATAAAAAATTTATATAGAATTACACAACATGTACTTATTGCCATGTAGTAAAATAATATATAAAATTAGGTAAAAATTGCATTAGAAGCTTTTTATATTATATATAAAAATTAATCGGAATAAAATAAAACATTAACATGATTGTAGGCAATGAACGGAATGAAAAACGTGTACTAAGCAAAATGATGAGGCAATTAAGTATAATATTTATTAAATTTAAATAAGGTAAAACGACAAAGATATTAGTGTGAAAGTAGCTCAGTTCTATAAAATTTAAGATAGAACGACTGGACACAACATCAATGGTTTTCATGAAAATAAAAATAGTGGAAAACTGATTAGCTAGGACTTGTAATTTAATTGATTGTCTTTCTTTAAAAATTAGTATTAGTGAGCGTTACCTCCATGAACTATGTTTCTTATATCTGTTTAGTGGTCTATAAATGGTATCTACTCCAATCTTTGCTTAAATGTTATTTACAAATCGATGGTTATTATGACAATAAGAGAATTAGTCCCCGCAGAAAGTATCTGAGCTATTGCATCAAAGTTGTTAAATCTGAATGAGGTTATAACTAGAAAATTTACAAGGAATGCAAAAAAGGCGTAGTAATACAAAGCCAATAATTTGATATATCCAGCAAATGAATAGCTGATGCTGTAAATATACTTCAATATTCTTTATTCAACGTGGTAAACAGAGAGGAAATCTTACTTTAGTCAGTACACTAGGGAGTTACCCATCTATTAAACAAAAAGATGGATCTTGTGTTTATCTTTCATTCTCAAACTAAAATGTATTGTATTTTCTTTCTATTTCTGTCGATGAAATATCGACATTAAAATATTAAGTATTCGAACATTAAAATTTTAATCTCGTTCAAATTACTAATACATTTTAGTTAAGATTGTTTAGATTTTAGATTGTTTAGATAAATTGTATAGAAATAAAATAGAAATGTGCACATGTTTAAGCTTCAATTTTAATTTATAAATATTTAAAACTATAATATATTAATTTTTTACAAAAAATAATATTAAAATAAATACATTATATCAACCTTTTCATTTATAAATATAAATTTTCGTCAAATTTTTTCTTTTGAAGTATAAATATAATATAAATATAATTAATGGTAAAATTTTTTATACTATACGTTAAAATAATAAGAAAGTACATATTTTCACGCGGTTGTAATTTGTAATTTTCAATCCATCGTTATTTATTTTTAGGATATTATTTTTTGGTATTAGAGTGCTGTGAAACTCTATTTTAATATTTCACACACCTATTCCATTTACTATTGTTATGAATCATACAAAAAATAAAAGCCCATTGAAGTCCATTGTAAAAGCAATAAAAGGCAAATAATTATTTATTAGTAACTTAAAGTTAGTTTGAATGGATTAAAAAAATCACTAAAATTGCAAATTAATAATATCGGCAGCATGATTGCTTAGTTATCATGAAACGTCGATGTAATTTTTTAGAAATAATTAGACTCTTACTTATTTTCACAATCGTAAAAACATTGAGATATTCTGATGATCCAAAGAGGGTAAGAAAACTGAAAATAATAGTATTATATAATATATTTGAAATTTACTTGCTCTCTCTTTCTTTCTTTTTCTGTAGTACGCCACAAAAATGAAGATGAGTTTTTCATTGTCCTCGCTACAGCACTCTAACAGCAGCCTAGAGAGAGTTGAACAGACGGGGATCAGAGTGGACCGACCATACAACAGTCTAACTAAGAAGAGGTCAGTTTTATCCAGCTCCATTATTTTACATTATTTCGAGATCTATGTTCTTACGCATTCAAAAACTACGTAAAGAAACTCAAATTATTAGAGATATCGTATATCGGTGCTTTGTTGAGTGGTTATTTTTTCACAAAAAATTAATTACTTGTTATATTAAGGAAAAGATTATAGTAAAATATGAAAATATTTGTAATTTTATTTGTACACATGTTTTACATATATATAACTTTTTCGATTTAAATATAGTATAAAAAATGACAATAAATTTTGAATATCTATGAACAAGTAATAACAATAGTTTTACCCATTATAGTTCTGTTTTATTTTTCTATAAATCGTGAGTGTTGCAAAGGTATATTACACTTTATATAGTTATTTAGACCAATATAATCGTATATGTCACAATAAACTGTAAAAAACGTTTCAGAGAAAAAAGAATATTGTTTTACTATATCATGATCCGAACATTTTTTTAAGATTTCCTTATTAATAAAAACCAAGAAATATATGTTGCTATGCAGCAGAATAAGTTAAATTTATTATTTCAAGGGCTGATTCATAAGGTGTAAGATGTTTGAAATGCAATGCCATCAAAATAAAATTAAAGAAGTAATAGAAATATTAAAATCATTAAACTATCAATGAAATTTATAAAATATCAAATTTTTTATTTCCTTTCTTTTATATTAATTTTATTTTTAAAAATTACTTTTATTTTAAATTTGTCTGCATATTAAATAAAAATAACGTAATATATAAAAAATCTTAAGTATGAAAATATTATTAACCTAAAAATACAATTAATTATATATTATTAATTCTAAAATATTAATATTTTATGTTATTTTAATAAGATTCTTAAATAGCTTTTATCTTAACTATAATATTATAATATATAATTACTTTGGAAACTATTCTTTTGTTACGTTCTGTAACAAAAATAGCTTAAAATATTTAAGTAACTATTATGAATAATTAAAAAATTATGAATAGAAAAAATAAAGCAACATAACTGAAATTAGAGAAAATACTTTCGTTTATTTTTCATTTATTAATGGCATAAAGTTTTATGGTCTACTTGATTTTGTTGTATTTGAATAACAATATTTTAACATTACAGTAAATGTGAAATTAAATAATAAAATTAATTAATATAAAGTATTTTATTTATACTTAATATGAATAATAAAAAGACTAAAAACTTATTTCTTATTAACAGGAAAGAACCAATGCAAGAACAAAGTACTAAAAACTACTCTGGCCTAGAAGACAGTAAAGATGATTTTTGGGCTGCCATACGTACAAACTATGATTACATAATGGATACAAATCTTATTGACACTTGTAAGGTTTGTATCGTACCATCTATTCGCAATGCTGCCATTATAAAAAAAGAACAAAATTATTTAAGACATTGCTTTAAAAAATGCGTAATTTTATTTTAACAATCATTTAGACCTTATTTATTTCTCTATTAATAAATAAAAAAAAAATAATGATAACTTATTCTTATACAGTAAATTACAGTTTAAAAGTAAACTTTACTACAGTCCGAAACTAGTGTTAACCGATATAAGTTTAAGTAAAATAGTTATAAGTAAGTATCATCTTAAAAGAATTTATGTGTTGTCTTAAAATATAGTCGTAAATTTCAATATCTGATACTTCAAAACTTATGGTAACATACAATCCACTATATTTTCATTTATTGTCTTACCATTAAAATAAATTATTATCGATTAACATTTTAGAGACATTTTTCATAAATGAATTATCGTTATAATTCGAAAAATATTTCTTTTAATCATTTAATACTTAATGTTACAATAATCATTTTTTTACAAATACATAATATTATTTAATCAATAAAATTGCTTTTAATTTTTAATATGTTTTATTCTCCACGTGAATATTTTGTCTGTTTAATAAGTATTCTTAATGACTCAGGAATATCATAGTAATATAATATCGAAATAATTAAAGCATTGTGCAATCAAACATAGATTCTTTTTAGAAAAAAATTATCATCCGTTTTCATATTTTATATTATCGACGTTTAATATTATATGAAAATTAATAATTTGTGGCTAGTAAACTAATTTAAATAAAGACATCTGTATTTTTAATAGGACAGTATATATATAATATATATTTACTTATATATACACTAAATTATACTTTTTAATAGAAAGAATAATCATAGTATAAAATTATAATGTTGTATATAGTATATAAAATGTTATTATCATATATAAATATTACAAAATTAAAAAATTGATATTCAAATTAATTAGAATATATATTTGAAATTTCTGAATCAAATATTGAATTGGAACATTGAAATATTGATTTTACATTTATTTATAATATATAAATTATGATAAGAATATTATAATTATCATAATATCAAAACAATTTATTTGTAAATTAATTTTTTAAGGTGATTATTTAATTACATCATTAAGTATATCATTAAATTTTTGTAATCACTAAAGGTATTAATAATACTATTATAAATATACCAACATATCAGTTTACATATAATTATATTTTATATAACTAGTTATGTAAATAATTATAAATAACTTTGAGGTTTGGAAAATAAAACAAGTTTTATAACTTGCCGAAAAAATATTTTTTGAATATTCGTTTTATTTTATGCACCTTATAAACATTAATATTATTAATAGTTAATATTATTAATATGTGTTAACAGGAAGCCAATGGAGAGTTGGCTTGGGACGAAGGTGATGTCTCACCGGTTTCCTGGGGATTAAAAGAAGTCAGTTCTCAATTCTCAGAGCTTTACTCATGGTTGCAAGTTCTTCAAGAATTAATTTATTCCAAAGAAGAAAATCTCTTGAACAAAAGTCTACGTGTGGTATGAAAAATAGAATTGCAACTCAATATACAATATATTTAAATTTTATAAATAATAAAAATATTTTACTAAATAGATCCTTGAACTTATATTAGTTTTTAAAGTCAAATATTTAAAATAAAATATGGAGTTCCCTCTAGGTTTCTAATATTCATAAATTGTTTTTCTATAATATCTCAATATATTAAGAATATGAATCTCTTTATTCTCTTTATTATCTTTTTTCTAAATTCAGACTTATTTCATTTTTTTTAATCTTAATCTTAGTTTATGAATAATATTACTTAATGAAATATTAAAAATTAATATTAATTAAATATTAAATTTAATATTTCATATAATTGTAATAAGATCATTCAACATTAAATAACTGTTATCTTAACTATGTTTATAATATTATTTTATGACTTTTAATTTACAATTAATTATATTTATGTTCGTAGGCCCATACAGCGGAGTTGCGACGTAAGGCATACCGAAGACGATTATTCAATGATCAAGCAGAAAAATTAATTGCTCGCTCTCCTTCTTTGAAGGAAGAAGTTGCTTGGCGAATAGATCATTTAAATGTCAAATGGGATCTTGTTGAACAAATAATGGCTCCAGTACCAAGATGTGATGAAATGGATAATCATGATTTTTCTGCAGGTACGTAAAATTATCTTATTCAAATATTTTATTCATTGTTAATTTAAGGATTACGATTTCCTGATTGTAAAAATTGTAACTAAACATTTCTATAAATAATATAAAGAATATATATTATTACTGAATATTTAAGTATATTCAACATCTTATTTTATCTAAATAAACCTATTCTAACGATTTACCCATACAAGCATATTACCAATTTATAATTTAATTTAAAAAATTAAACAATTAAAAATAAATTTGATATATAACTAAATTAATAATAATAAAGTATTTAATATATCTATTAAAATTTCCTATTATCTAGATGCGTTACTAGTATAAAGCATATATTATATTAGAAACAATTGTATTGGGATGTAATAATTTTTTTATCTATTCTTAATTTAAACGGTTATATTTTTAATTAAATTAATAAAACATACAACTATATAAGATATTTAATAAAAATTTCATTAAGTTAAGATAAGTTATATGCAAATGATATAAAATAATTATATTTATTAGAAATGTCAAATATCAAATCAATTATTATTTTTATTTAAAATACGAATAACAACATTTTGTTTTAAATATTCCATTTTTAGTTTAGAATTTAATTGCAACAAACAATTTTCCAAAATTTTCATTTCTTAAACTTCATAATTCTGAACATTTCTGTAATTAAGATAGAAAAACTTGAACATGTACTATGACTACGTAGAAAAAACTATACTTATTGATAATTTCAATCATAATTTGTACATAATTTTAATGGTGCTTTATTATGCTATATTTATAAATTTATTATATGTATAAAATTATCAACAATTAAATGTATTTAGAAAAAATATAAATTACTATAATTATCTCATTTATCAACAATTATATTAATAAAATAATTGTTTTCAAGATTCAAGAAACTGAAAATTATTTATTAGTAAATAAGTTTGATTAAAATGGCAATATATACACGGAAATGAACAAATTTAAAATGAAAAATTTTTCAGAGATAAATAAATCGATCATTTTCATAATTTAATATTGAAAATATTTACTGCTTACCAAACAAAATAACCACATACAAATATTTATTATTTCTTTTTTTTTTCAAAGAAAGTTCAATATTTAAATAAAAAACTGCTTATATAAGATTCTATAATTTTAAACATAAAAAGTAAAAGTAATTTAAAACTAAGTCTACCAATTTCTCAATGTAAAGTAAACTCCAGAGACAAATCTCTCTTTGTAATTATTAAAGTAAAATGAATGAATAACAATAAATTGTGAACCAACTGTAATTCTATGTTTTTCATGTTTTAAAATAATTAATACCCTCTAAAAATGAAATTTGAACATTATAAACATATATAAATTAGTTTTAAATGTTCTTATTAGTTGATAAAATATCCACGTTTAATTATAACATAAAAAATGAAATTATCATTACAATATTTCGTTTAAATTCTAGTTCGTATTTATGTTGTGTAATATTTATATTATTCAATTCACAGATTTTGAACACGAGGTAAAATGTTTAAGAAAGTGGTTACGTGAAATGGAAGCTCGACTACAGCCACTCAATTTTCGTGTTGATTGGGGCATAACAGAAATTGAAGAAAAAGCTGTAGAGCATATGGTAATATTTTTAATAAAATTTTATATATGGTTATATTAAATATTTAATACTTAATTAAAAACATCTTAAAATGTATAATTTCAATATAAGCATAAGTTTCCATAAAAATTTTCTGTATAAAATCAAAGCGATATAACGTGGCAGGTAAGTAAAATTACTAAAATACTGATTGACAATAGATATGAATCAATTAAAAATTTCAAGTAAATATGAATTAGACTTTTGATAATTATTTTTATTAATTTAATTTTTATATTATTCGAATAATAATTTGAAAAATATTCGAAAAAGTAAGATATAATATATTAAATTTGGAATAATTTCCTTTCTAAACATATAAATAGAGTTATAATATATAGATATAATAAAAAATGCGATAAGCATTTTAATTAATGATACATTAAATTGTAAATATGGAATAAATCTTTTTTATTAATTTTGTTGTAATTGTCACAGACAAACTAATTCGATCAATTTATTAAATTCAATGATTATTTTACATTCATCCTATCTACGTAGATATTTCGAATATATAAAACAATTACATAATATAACTATGTATTTACAAATACATATTTCTTTATCATATGATTTGACACAGTATGCTTTAATAGTTATAAATAGATTTAATAATTTCATGGTTTATGATAATATTGAAGATTAAAATGTATAAATATGTATTTGTTATATGATTTATAGTTTTATTAAACGAAAAAAAAATTATATGAACATAAGCATTTCAAATAATAACTCATTCTTTATTTGATATCTTATAAGCTAATTATTAATTTAGTTACAATCTGTATCTTAAAAAATTTTAATTTGGTGTTAGTTTTTTGTATTATTGAACATTTTGTAATTAGTCTGGTATATCATCTACTAAATGCGTATTATTTTATTTCTTCCTGAACATAACGGACTTCATGATGAAACTGCTCATTCATTCTTCAAAGGAAGTTTTTAAACTTTATATAAATATAATAGTGTTCAATTATATCTGAGCATAATTATATGTAAATTACCACACTAGTTTTATTAGACATTAAAAAAATTGACGTTTTCATGTATAGTACCTCACTTTTTCTTTTTTAATTTATTTAATTTAATACTAGCATGTAATATATACTTTTATTATTGCAGAATATTAATAATTATTTTATTATATTTATATACTTATAACAAATAATTAATTAAAAATAAACAAATAAATATATATGTATATATATATATATATATATATATATATATACATATATTATTTATGATAATTTATATAATTTAAATACTAATATGATTTCTATAATTTTCATTTTATATAATGTATTATTTATTCTCAATATTAATAAAATTAATATAGCGCATGCATTGATAACTATCAATAAATAATTAAATAGATATAATTAATTTTAAGCAAGACAAGTTACTATATATTTCAGTGCAGGTGATCCTTTAAAGTAGAAATAATTAATAATTATATAGTCTATGTTATGCCACTTATTGCCACAGTAAAGTATACAGATAATAACTCTAAGATTCATGTTAGTGTTACTATTATATTGAGGGGGATAGTATTATCTATATTATTTAAATATTTAAAACCAGTAACAAAAAAAGTTAGAATTTCATAATCATTCATAATAAAAGTTATGTATACAAAATTTATGTGTAATTTATTCGTGTTTATATATTCTTAACGGTTGAGTAATAAGTAATAACATTAAAAAAAATTTTTTAATTAATCAGAAATTGTTAACCAATTGGAACATTTTTCATTAAACTATAATTCCTGTTTTTTTTATAAAGATAATAATCCTAGAAATACATAAAGCATTAAATTTATCTGAAAGAAGATATCCATGGATGATAATAATAATACTCAATTCTTTTTCTTGGAATGGTAGGGTTCTTATATTACTCATAAAACTCGTAATTCAATTTATTGAATACAAATTAGTAATTTTTAACACAATGTGTAATGAATACAACTGGTATTATATTTTCACTTCCTTGTATTACACAGCACATCATTGTTTAATTATTTAAAAAATTGTTATAAACTGTAACCTTACGGATTTTTAAATGTATTCATTGATTGATACATTTAAATATTTTAAAATCCAATAATGAAACTATTCTATATGAATAACGAAAATATATTTATAATTTTTATTATAGAAATTTTATAAAATGCTTATAGTTTTGACTTCTACGTATTATAATAATTCAAACATATAAGCTTGTATCATATAAATATAAATTATATAGAATATACAAGAATAAAACAGTTATAAATTTAATTATAAATTATGAAAATACCGAGGTCTAAAAACTTATTCACAATTAATAAATTAAAGATTTTGTAAATGAAATAATATTTAATGTGAATAAGTATTGAGAAAATCTTATTGAAAAAATAGTAATAATTTGAAAATAAAAACATGTTTCTTAAAAAAAAATTTTTTTAATTTTTGTAAAATATTGCTTTTGTAAGATGTACTTAATGGAATATGCAATATATGTTTACTGTATTAAAATTAATTTTTTGATATACTGTCTAAACTTGCTATTTATTGTATATATTGATAAAATATTTTAATGACTTCTTTAATGTCTTATTACTAATTTTAGAAATTAAACAAGCAACATGAACTGTATGCATTATTTAGACATTAATGCCTTGCTTTTAAAAATATACAATGGTTCACGCTATAAAATTGAGATTAAATAAATCGCAATTAAGTATGAAAAAAATTATGCGTGTGATTCTACTCTATTTGATTAATCAAACCAATTTCCAGGCAGTATAGTACGATTAAGCAGTTATCACTTTTTGAATTTTTATAGCGTTTTTCAATTGATCGCTATTTTTTTCGTATAAATTAACTTGACTTTTTGATTCGACGGTTATACCTAATGATTGATTAATATTAAAGAAATGTTATTCCATTACAAATGGAAAAAAAATAAAGATTTTTAACGGTAATTATGACTATAATAAATTGAGTATTTTTCTCTTATACATTTACAACTATTGTAATACCAATTGAAATTCATAAGTTATCAAATTTTATTAGTTTATTAACACGTATATAACACAACTTGTGATATAGAATTAAGAATTCTTTATATGAAATGATAGTGCGATTGATGATACAATTATTTATTATGTTTATTACAAGCTTAGTCCTGTATGATTAATTTTATTTTATAAAATAAAAGGTTCTATCTCATTGAGTCGAAAATATATTAAAAATATAAATTATATGATTATTGAAATTTTTATCACAAGTAAATAAATATAAAAACATGATAACTTTCAAAATAATTTTTTAATTAATGTTTACATAAATATTTTTAAAATGTTAATATTAATAGAAATAATGTGACGAGTACTAAAGTTGTAATCTATATTAAAAGAGTAATACAATTTTAATAAAAATCATGAAGATCATTTTAGATTTATAATTGCTAGGGAGTTAAAGAATAATTTGATATGTTTATTAATAATATACTTATAAGGATATTCTAGATATAAAGGTTTAAAAACCATCTATTGTAGTGCAATTAATGATTTTCACTTTTATTAAATTACAGCATATTGTTTAATGGCATTGTGTTTAATACGAGTTCATTATTAAAAATAAAAGAGTTGAAGGAATTAGAAACAATTTAAGAATTACATATTTATTTCCTGCTCAGTTGTAAATATTTAAGTTAATTTCGTCGTATTAATCGATAATTATCTTATCTGAGAAACTCGTAAATAAATTTTTTTATTATTAAATACAATAAACATGAGAGTTTAAATTCTATATTTATTTCTATATTTTGTACTTGAAAAGTGTGTATATGTAAGGGAACTTTATAAAGTATCTGCACAATAAATCACGTATATTTAATCTTTTCTAAGATTGTATCGATTTCTTGTGTTGGATACACTGGACCAACTTTCTCCATTCTTCCATTATTTCTTGGCACGATACGTGCAAATAAACTAAGCATCGGTACCCAACGACACAGATCCAAACATGTGGATACTGCCGTTCTCTTGTTGTTAACAGAAATACTTTCATTGTAAAATCAAATAGACTTCTAGGAGATTACTTTCAAAAGACATACCTATATATGCGTGATATGTAATTATAAAAAAAAAAACCCATTTGTATTTTCTGCAATATCGCTGTCGTTAGCCTGAAGAGAAAGCGAAGTATACGTCATTTATTTCTCTCTCAAAATATCAGTTTTCTATTTTTCGTTCTACAATAAGTTTCCCATATATTTACTACTTTTTAACTACTCATTCAATCCACTTTAAAATATATGATTTTTTTAATGTATAAATGGAGCTGTTGATCACTTCTTGTTATATCAAGTCTATTATTTTAAATAGTTTTTTTTTTAAAGCTATTAAAATTATGTTTAAATGTATGTATATTTCAATGTTCGACTGAATAAATACTGTAATTATATAATGTATCGAATAAATTTTGCTCTTTATGTGTAAAAAACATTAAATAAAAATTAACTGAATCTTATTAATTTTAAGTATAAATATCACCTTGTTTATGACAATAATTGAGCTGCATATTCCACGCAGTAAAATACTTTCTCTAACATAAATAATCGATGGAAATTTCACTACATAATACTTAAAGATGTACTAAAATTAATAACACAAAACATAATAAAAGCGATAATAATTTTATAATGACAGTAAATTTACAACAGCAGTATGAACGTATAACTCTAATATAAATTAACTAAATGACCTTATAATGACTTTAATTTCATGGATGTTTTGCATTCATTTGGTGCGAGTAAGTAATTTTAATAGCAGCAGATATTTTAATAGCAAAAGATGTTGTTTTTATCATCAATTATCACAATAATCCGCAATTTAGCTGGTTTTAATTAATTCGCTTAAATTGTCTGGAGAGCATTAAAACTAATACTAGGTTTAATAAAGTGAGTTAGACATACAGCATTAAAAAAGGAGCCAA